CTCTCTCTCTCTCTCTCTCTTCCTCTCTTCCTTTTTCCCCTTCCTTTCTCTTCCTCTTTTCCATTCTCATTTTGGTATCCTTTATCTTTCTATCGCTGTTCTTGATGTTAATGTAATGTACCTCTTTTTCTTTGATTGTTTATCTTTTGTTTTTGTTTTTGTTTTCGAGTGATTTGCGTAACCATTCCGAGGCCCACGCGTGTTTTAGTTTGTGTGTGTGTGTGTGGTTTGCTGTTCTTCGAAGACGTTAGTGGATATATGCATTTTATGGAAAGAGGAGTGGCTGCTAATAGACGGAGGCGGTATGGTGCTCTCTCTCTCCTCTCCTCTTTTCTTCTCTTCTCTTCTCTCCTCTCCTCTCCTCTTCTCCTCACTCACTAACCCTTTTATTTTCGTATTCACTCATTTTCTCCCTACTACTTGTACTCTACATGATTCATAACACATACTCTACTATTGTGTGTTTTTTTCCTACAATTGATTCGTGACACGTGATCTGTTACTGTATTGTTTGCAACACATGATTCATAACCCTTTCCCTCGAAATATAGTTTGGTTGCGTCTGAGTGTGTTTCGAAATTTAGATTGTTATTTGTGTTCATAGCCTTTCTGGTAATCGAGAATTCCAATTGGTGATGCAAGTGCGTGCGGGGGGGGGGGGGGTGCGTTGAAAGAAAATTTACCGCGGTGATGAATTCCGAAGATGGTGTTTTACATACATGTTGGCGAGGTAGTCGAGGGAAATGTGTTGGTGGTGTTGATGGCGACGAGTGAGTGAATTCGTGTTTTGGTTTCTAGTGCGAGCCGGGCATATATGTATATCGTGTGATCCGCTGTGTTGGCTAGTTTCGAGGCGAGAGGAGGTGGTGCTGCGTGGGTGACAGGTGTGCAGGCTGTGCTTTCGGTGGTAACCTTCACCGTAACATAGTGGAAATATGTTCAGGTGTGTGTGTGTGTGTGTGTGTGTGTGTGTGTGTGTGTGTGTGTGTGTGTGTGTGTGTGTGTGTGTGTGTGTGTGTGTGTGTGTGTTTATCTGTGTGTGTATCTGTGTGTCTCTTTCTTCCCCTCCCTCTACCACTCCCTTCTTTTATCTCCCGAGACCGTCCTCAATTCTTCAATTGTTGCCCCCTCGAACACGCAGTTGTAATAGTCAGGTGATTAAGTGCATGCCTGGAGCAACACAGCACATACCTCTATCACATGCTTTATATGTACACAACATAACCCGTTAGTACGCGCAGACACTCATTAAGAATGGAGGTGGCAGAGAGCCGACATTAGTGACTCGTGACCGTGTATGATACTCTCGGATGATGGCGCAGTTGAAGCCGTTATGAACAGCGGTGACAAAAAGCTTGTTTGTGTGCGTGCGTGTGAAGTTCCACCTACACCCCCTACCTCCCACCCCAACCCCTCCCATCACCTCGGAAGGTCTTGTCTTGGGAGTGGAAGCGTAAGGGAAGGCGCCTGTTTCACTCTAGGTGCAGGTGAACTGGCGTCGCTCGGTGTGCAGCGCTGTGTGTATATATCCCGTGTGCAACAGAGGCGTACAGAGTGGGGCAGAAAGTCGGCAGCGTCGAGGAGAGAGAGAGAGAGAGAGAGGCTGGCGCTGTTGTGTTTCGCCTCCTGCGCCATTCCCACGTGCCTGTGTGTGCCACGGTGCCTCCCGGCCGTGCCCCTCTACTGGCTCTGGCGGCTCGGTGCAGGTGACGTGGGCAGGAGGGCGCCCGGTGCTGGTGGCGGAGGCTCTCGCTGTTGTTGGGCGTGTCGTCTGGCTACTCCTGGCTTTTATTTTTGTCGCTGTCATAGTGAATGGTTCCCGAGGGGCGGGGAGGGGGGGCGAGGGGAGGCGGGGGCGCGCCGTGAGTCCGAACTAACCGTAGCGGAGCGGGTGAATGGCCACGGCCGGACTTTCATCTGCGGCGGCGGCGGCAGAGGTGATCTGGGAGCGCGGGCTCGAGGCAGAGTGCGGCCGCCCGCCTCGCTGGATGCGCCGCGGCGGTCCCGAGTTCGCGCTGATGGATCGCCCGTCGGGAGGCGATCAGGGGCAGTTCGGGAAAAAAATGGGAACAGCCAAGGGCACCCTCTTGCCCCGAGAGCTAATAGGTAATGTGGCATGACTTGCATTAAGCTTCTGGAGGACTTGTGCGGGGCGGGGGTGGGGGGAGGCGGCCGGGGGCGAGGGGGAAGGCGAGGTGGCCGGGGGCAAGGTAGGGGACGAGTAGGCCTGGCAGGCTGGCAGGCGGCCTGGCCTGGTGCGCGTGTGACGTATGGGGGGCCTTCGCGCCGCCATTGTTGTGGGCAGCCCGGCCAGACCTGAGCGAAGGAAGGAGCGTCGACCGTCCTCCGCCGCCCTCCCGCCCGCCCGCTCGCTGCCAACAACTGTATCAACAGTTGGTGGAGTCGTGATGCAGCGTCTCGGCGGGAGCGGGGAGTTCCGCTTGTGGCCGGGGGAAGGCGCTGAAGGCAGTCGCGGCGGCGTTTTCCAGGCGGTCGTCATCCAGCCGCGGGCCCAGGGGGTGGGCGGGGGGTACCAGGAGGGAGGAGAGGGGCCTGGCAGGCGGTTGAGCTGATGGCGAGCGTCCGGACCGAGGGACCGAGGGACCGAGGGACCCAGGCAAGGAGGGAAGGAGGGCGAAGGCGGGCGAGCGAGCTAGGTGTCTGAGTGAAACTTTAGGGGTATACAATTGGCTGCTGTGCGAGTCCTCTGGTGGCGGGTGTAATGCGACCTGGCCAGGGGGGGGGGGAGGGCCTCGGGAGGGTGGGAGGGAAGGGGGGACGGAGGGGAGAGGGTGCAGACACAGTAAGTTGGTTGGGGAAGGGAAGAGGAGGGCGCTAGAGGGAGAAGTGGCTAGTTTGTTGGTGGTGAGGACACGATTCGCCGAGGAGGAGGAGGAGGAGGAGGAGAAGAAGAAGAAGAAGAAGAAGAAGAAGAAGAAGAAGAAGAAGAAGAAGAAGAAGAAGAAGAAGAAGAGGGGGGATCACACCGGAGCCATTTCTTGTGTTTTCGTTTATGGTCATTGATGGCTTTCTTAGCAGGAAGTCTCGCTTCTTTTCTCCTCCTTTACTCTCTCCCTCTCTCTCTCACACACACACACACACACACACACACACACACACACACACACACACACACACACATACGGTATCCGGATAAGGGCGTTAAAGGTGTAGTTGAGTCACATTGCTACGCCGGGAGGAGCAGGCAGGCAAGCAATTAGGCAGGTGATTAGGCAGTTAGGCAGGTGATTAGGCAGTTAGGCAGGCCGGAAAGCAGGCAGTGAAACAGTTTGGCAGATAGTGGAGCTGTTAGGCAGTTAGCCAGGCAGGCAGTTAAGCTGTTAGGCAATTAAACAGACAAGTCGTTAGGCAGTTTGGGATTCAGGTAGGCTGTTAGGCTATCAGGCAGGCAGAAAGGCAGGCAGAAAGGCAGGCAGGAAGGCAGGCAGGAAGGCAGGCAGAAAGACAGGCAGGAAGACAGGCAGGAAGGCAGGCAGGAAGGCAGGCAGAAAGGCAGGCAGAAAGGCAGGCAGAAAGGCAGGTAGAAATGCAGGCAGGAAGGCAGGCAGAAAGGCAGGTAGAAATGCAGGCAGGAAGGCAGGCAGGAAGGCAGGCAGAAAGGCAGGCAGAAAGGCAGGCAGGAAGGCAGGCAGAAAGACAGGCAGGAAGGCATGCAGGAAGGCAGGCAGAAAGGCAGGCAGGAAGGCAAGGGCGTAACAGCGACTCCGTGGGTGAGCTGTTCACTGCATGGATATGTCATCAGGGATCTCGGTTAGAAGCGTGTTTATCAGTGCTGCTGAGGTCACAGGTTAATAATATCACACCGCTATCCCTCCTTTTCCTCCCCTTCCTCTCCCGTCTCCCCCTTCCTCTTCTTCTCCTTCCTCTCCTCCACCTTCCCCCTTTCTCTGTCTGTCGGTCTCATTTTTTTTGTCTTGTTTGTTTTTTGTCTTTTTTCTTTCTCTTTTTCTCTTCTCTTCCTCTTTTTTCTCGCTTATCTCCTCTCTCCTCTCGTCCTCCTCTCCTCTCCTTTCCGCTCCTCTCCTCTCCTTTCCTCTCGTCTCCTTTCCTCGCCTCTCCTCTCCTCTCCTCTCCTTTCCGCTCCTCTCCTCTCCTCTCCTTTCCTCTCGTCTCCTTTCCTCTCCTCTCCTTTCCTCTCCTTTCCTCTCCTCTCCTTTCCGCTCCCTTTATCTCCTCTCCTCCCGCTTCCCCTCTCCTCTCCTCTCCCCTTCGTGCGTGTGCGTAGGACAACCAAGGGGCGCAGCGCAGGGAGGAAGTGGGCGCGAGGGAGGAGGAGGAGGAGGAGGAGGAGGAGGAGGAGGAGGAGGAGGAGGAGGAGGAGGAGGAGGAGGAGGAGGAGGAGGAGGAGGAGGAGGAGGAGGAGGAGGAGGAGGAGGAGGAGGAGGAGGAGGAGGAGGAGGAGGAGGAGGAGGAGGAGGAGGAGGAGGAGGAGGAGGAGGAGGAGGAGGAGGAGGAGGAGGAGGAGGAGGAGGAGGAGGAGGAGGAGGAGGAGGAGGAGGAGGAGGAGGAGGAGGAGGAGGAGGAGGAGGAGGAGGAGGAGGAGGAGGAGGAGGAGGAGGAGGAGGAGGAGGAGGAGGAGGAGGAGGAGGAGGAGGAGGAGGAGGAGGAGGAGGAGGAGGAGGAGGAGGAGGAGGAGGAGGAGGAGGAGGAGGAGGAGGAGGAGGAGGAGGAGGAGGAGGAGGAGGAGGAGGAGGAGGAGGAGGAGGAGGAGGAGGAGGAGGAGGAGGAGGAGGAGGAGGAGGAGGAGGAGGAGGAGGAGGAGGAGGAGGAGGAGGAGGAGGAGGAGGAGGAGGAGGAGGAGGAGGAGGAGGAGGAGGAGGAGGAGGAGGAGGAGGAGGAGGAGGAGGAGGAGGAGGAGGAGGAGGAGGAGGAGGAGGAGGAGGAGGAGGAGGAGGAGGAGGAGGAGGAGGAGGAGGAGGAGGAGGAGGAGGAGGAGGAGGAGGAGGAGGAGGAGGAGGAGGAGGAGGAGGAGGAGGAGGAGGAGGAGGAGGAGGAGGAGGAGGAGGAGGAGGAGGAGGAGGAGGAGGAGGAGGAGGAGGAGGAGGAGGAGGAGGAGGAGGAGGAGGAGGAGGAGGAGGAGGAGGAGGAGGAGGAGGAGGAGGAGGAGGAGGAGGAGGAGGAGGAGGAGGAGGAGGAGGAGGAGGAGGAGGAGGAGGAGGAGGAGGAGGAGGAGGAGGAGGAGGAGGAGGAGGAGGAGGAGGAGGAGGAGGAGGAGGAGGAGGAGGAGGAGGAGGAGGAGGAGGAGGAGGAGGAGGAGGAGGAGGAGGAGGAGGAGGAGGAGGAGGAGGAGGAGGAGGAGGAGGAGGAGGAGGAGGAGGAGGAGGAGGAGGAGGAGGAGGAGGAGGAGGAGGAGGAGGAGGAGGAGGAGGAGGAGGAGGAGGAGGAGGAGGAGGAGGAGGAGGAGGAGGAGGAGGAGGAGGAGGAGGAGGAGGAGGAGGAGGAGGAGGAGGAGGAGGAGGAGGAGGAGGAGGAGGAGGAGGAGGAGGAGGAGGAGGAGGAGGAGGAGGAGGAGGAGGAGGAGGAGGAGGAGGAGGAGGAGGAGGAGGAGGAGGAGGAGGAGGAGGAGGAGGAGGAGGAGGAGGAGGAGGAGGAGGAGGAGGAGGAGGAGGAGGAGGAGGAGGAGGAGGAGGAGGAGGAGGAGGAGGAGGAGGAGGAGGAGGAGGAGGAGGAGGAGGAGGAGGAGGAGGAGGAGGAGGAGGAGGAGGAGGAGGAGGAGGAGGAGGAGGAGGAGGAGGAGGAGGAGGAGGAGGAGGAGGAGGAGGAGGAGGAGGAGGAGGAGGAGGAGGAGGAGGAGGAGGAGGAGGAGGAGGAGGAGGAGGAGGAGGAGGAGGAGGAGGAGGAGGAGGAGGAGGAGGAGGAGGAGGAGGAGGAGGAGGAGGAGGAGGAGGAGGAGGAGGAGGAGGAGGAGGAGGAGGAGGAGGAGGAGGAGGGGGAGGGGGATGGCCAAAGTGTCCTTTCCGCTCCCTTTATCTCCTCTCCTCCCGCTTCCCCTCTCCTCTCCTCTCCCCTTCGTGCGTGTGCGTAGGACAACCAAGGGGCGCAGCGCAGGGAGGAAGTGGGCGCGAGGGCGGCGCTCGAAGGAGTGGGAAAGAGCGAGCTGATTGGGATGACCAGGATGCGCCGCGAGTCCTCCTCCTCCTCTTCATCCTCTTCTTCTTTCTCTTCTTCTTCCACCTCTTCTTCCATTTCTTTCTCTTCCTCTCCTTTCTCTTCTTCTTCCTCTTCTTCCCTTTCTTTCTCTTCCTCTCCTTTCTCTTCTTCTTCCACCTCTTCTTCCATTTCTTTCTCTTCCTCTCCTTTCTCTTCTTCTTCCACCTCTTCTTCCATTTCTTTCTCTTCCTCCTCCTCCTCCTCCCACTCCCCTTCCTCCTCCTCCTCCTCCTGTTCCCCTTTCTTCCATCCTTCCTCCAATTTCCTCTCCTCTCCTCTCCCCTTCGTGCGTGTGCGTAGGACAACCAAGGGGCGCAGCGCAGGGAGGAAGTGGGCGCGAGGGCGGCGCTCGAAGGAGTGGGAAAGAGCGAGCTGATTGGGATGACCAGGATGCGCCGCGAGTCCTCCTCCTCCTCCTGTTCCCCTTTCTTCCATCCTTCCTCCAATTTCCTCTCCTCTCCTCTCCCCTTCGTGCGTGTGCGTAGGACAACCAAGGGGCGCAGCGCAGGGAGGAAGTGGGCGCGAGGGCGGCGCTCGAAGGAGTGGGAAAGAGCGAGCTGATTGGGATGACCAGGATGCGCCGCGAGTCCTCCTCCTCCTCCTGTTCCCCTTTCTTCCATCCTTCCTCCAATTTCCTCTCCTCTCCTCTCCCCTTCGTGCGTGTGCGTAGGACAACCAAGGGGCGCAGCGCAGGGAGGAAGTGGGCGCGAGGGCGGCGCTCGAAGGAGTGGGAAAGAGCGAGCTGATTGGGATGACCAGGATGCGCCGCGAGTCCTCCTCCTCCTCCTGTTCCCCTTTCTTCCATCCTTCCTCCAATTTCCTCTCCTCTCCTCTCCCCTTCGTGCGTGTGCGTAGGACAACCAAGGGGCGCAGCGCAGGGAGGAAGTGGGCGCGAGGGCGGCGCTCGAAGGAGTGGGAAAGAGCGAGCTGATTGGGATGACCAGGATGCGCCGCGAGTCCTCCTCCTCCTCCTCCCACTCCCCTTCCTCCTCCTCCTCCCACTCCCCTTCCTCCTCCTCCTCCTCCCACTCCCCTTCCTCCTCCTCCTCTTCATCCTCTTCTTCTTCCTCTTCTTCTTCCTCTTCTTCCCTTTCTTCTTCCTCCTTCTCTTTCTCATCTTCCGTTTTTTTTATTTCTCTTCTTCCTCCTCTGCTTCTTTCTCTTCCTCCTCCTCCTCCTGTTCCCCTTTCTTCCATCCTTCCTCCAATTTCCTCTCCTCTCCTCTCCCCTTCGTGCGTGTGCGTAGGACAACCAAGGGGCGCAGCGCAGGGAGGAAGTGGGCGCGAGGGCGGCGCTCGAAGGAGTGGGAAAGAGCGAGCTGATTGGGAT